TCAATCAATTCTCATATTATCGATCGCGCTCTCGCGGCTTCTCTCCGTACACCGCTCGCAGCATCCTGATACATCATTAACTTTTCGTGTTAAAATCATGCCTCCTGCACGTTATATCATTTATGAGCAGAAATCGTCCAGCACATCTCATGCTTGTAATATAATCTGCATTTCATTCTCTCTGGGCGTTGAATTACATAGACACATATACTCCGCGCTGTAGAACCGATTAAAAGGATTGAGGATTCGCAAACACCATATGCTATCTCGTATCTTATTTATCCGTTGCAGCTTACTCCATTCTTAAATATAAACTACGACTATATAGAAGTGATTAACATGCTTTCAATAAGTTTAAGCAATATCATATATATATATATTGTTCTACNGATGAGTTTAAGCAATATCATATATATATTGTTCTACATGTGTCTTTACTTAAATAACAAGAAAGTGAGTATCACTCTAGTTCACACGGTATACCTGCACCGTACGAGAATTGCGTATATACGTGAGCGAAAGTGATTTACGAAGGATTGGTTGTTCAAACGGCAGATAAAGCAACTGTTCGAGCAAATTATGACAGATTGGAACATAGCCGAGAACAGTGAAATCAGAATATTGGAGAAATATGCCGGCAAGTGTCAGAAACATTCGCTAATCATGGTCTGTAAGTTAATTGTATGAGTTTTGAACACCGCGACTTTTGTTTTTTTTTTTTTTTTAATACAACTCAACATCTCGAATCGTTCGATCGACGGAACGAAATTGCTAACTTATCATACGTTTTAACATTTCCAAGTTATTTTAAGCTTCGAAATTATTATCCTTATAATCTTCGAAATGATGCCGGTTATTCTCGACATCGTCGTGCCAATAAACGAATCCCGGCCGCGTAAGATTCAATTGAACTTCGAGATGTTTCTCGCTCATCAGCAATATTTTTTCGTCTACCTGATATATGAGTGTACAATGCTGGCGGTTGGGTTTTCAACGCTGCTCGCTATGCTCACGTTGATGCTTATGTTCGCGAGACACTCTTGCGCTATTTACAAAATCGCTAGGTGAGTGCGACGAGTTTTGGTAAAACCTAAATAATCCACCTTCAATTGTCACATAAGCTACGAGTAACTACCGATTATTATCTATTTTGTCCACGAATCATCTGCAGCACCTTGATTGGGAATACAGTGACAAGATACAAGCTTGAAATTCCAGACGATCGGAAAGCGTGCGAGATGTACCGCAGGATCATTCGTGCTGTTTCTATGCACAGAAAAGCTATAGAGTCAGTCCTCATATGACTTATTTTCTTTTCATGTCTTATAATTCATACTTTCGCGTATAATGAAATTATATTTAAATACTACATTTTTTATTCCCGACACATATGTCTCGCGTACAAAACTGTTCTGCTCCTTCGGATTTTTCCCTATTATCGAAGATTCACCAAGTACACACTAAACATCCTGAACAGATGGATTTTCGTTGTAATTGTGATCATTGTGTTGTCCCTGGCGTGCAATATTCTCAATGTATGTACACGCGCTACCACGTGTAATATGTTTTACGTTTAATGTCATACGTACGTTTGTATGCGATGACTATTGACATGATATATCATTGTGTTTTAGTTTCTTATAGCAGTGACAGTATTAGAAGATTTTGGCTTAGCAATAATACGTAGCGGCGTGTTGATCGGCCATTTTGCAGCTATGTTTTTATGTAATTTTGCGGTGCAAACAGTTACAAATCACAGTGCGGAGATGTTTACCGCCGCGTAAGTACCTTCGAGAGCTGTATATATACAGATCGAATAGTGGATACAGAAAATGTGGATACAAAATGATATTTTTCTGTTCGTTCCTTCTCTTTCTTTTCTTTTCAACTGATCTTTAAATATCTGTAAACTCGTTAGCGCAGTTGCAAGAAGTAAAGCGTATACTTTACTGAACGTGTGAAAAGACATTTGCAGAACTAATTCCTTACTTTTATAATTTTTTAGATATCATACTGAGTGGTACTTAGCTCCGTTACCGATACAAAAATCGTTATTATTTGTCATGCAACATTCTCTAAAAGCTAACACGTTACTGTTTGGCGGAATTTACGTAGCATCTTTAGAAGGATTTTCTACGGTAACAGACGTAAATTACAAAAACTTAATTCCTTACAACATGAAGCCTGACTTCTTTTTTCTCATGCAAATAGTCGTTTGAATATGCCCGATGTATATCGAAAATAACAGTATTCACCCGTAGCTGCAGTACCAATCAATGATTAATATGTCGCCAACGCAATAAAAACTAAAATTGTTTTTTAGCTTGTTACTACGTCAATATCGTACTTCACAGTGCTGTGCAGTATTAATTAACAGTGAAGAAATGAAAGGGTACAAATGTAGAAACGTTTTGCAAATGTAGTAGAAAAAAGCGTTTCTCTGGTACTTAATTGTATCCGTTTAAGCACGATTTACGAAAACTTGTGAGAACATTTTGTTAGTCATTGCGTCTTTAAATGTAGAAGCACTATTAGAGACGTTAATATAGTGAAAGTAATTTGGATATCCAGCACTTGACCTCCCGCAGCTAAGGAAGTCGCATGTGAAATAAGCAATATTGCAATTCATTTGCCACTAATTAATATAATTATTTAAAAACAATAAAAGTCCGTAAAACTGTACTATAAACAAGTGTAATATAACATCTATGATCTCATAGCAGAGAGTTGTTGTCTCGTATTATCTTCCAATTTGAATTCTTAATCTTGGTGGGAGAAGTTAGACTGTTTATATTTATTGTCTACTGCCTCTCTCATTGTTCGACTCCTTCAATAAGATTCTCAAAGTTCGTAATTTGTTGACTTTCGCTTCTTATATAAGCGACAGCAGCTCTCGATTAGCTAGCTGGGTTTAGACTATCAACGATTCTTAATTATTCGATAACATACAAGACACCGCTCGCAAATGATAATTTCCTAAATAAACCACCAAGACTAATAAAGAGTTTGGCGTTACTCGGCGCCTGTGACCAACTTTCTCGCAACCAATAAATTAAGCTAGAGGTTTTACCTCGTTTACGTCAATCGTGGACTTCCCGAGGCTACACGCAAAATAATCATCAACAGTTGTAATAAAGCTTACTTTGATGTAATGTTTATTGTGCGATCAAATTATCGCTCTGTAATGTTTATTTGAGTAATGTTTATTGTGCGATCCAATTATCGCGCTTTCTTTCATCCAGAAAACGACAAAACTTTCCGCGGGACCTGATATTTCTGTTTTGGGTGGTTTGTTGACGAGTACATACTCTTCCAGGATATAACAATTTCTACTCAGCTGTTTTGTCTTATACTTCACTAATTTTGGCCAGTAAAAGATTCATTGCGAACTGCTATTACGTGTCCTATAGTAAAAATATATGTACATTCATGTGTATGCATTCAATATGTCGTATTTGGTGTAGTTCAATGTAGTAAATCAATTCATGACGAAAAATATCCTCCGGCCGGTAAAAAAACAAACAGATTCACTTTGATAGTATGAAAAAAGCAGTGTGCACTTACTATTTAAACTAGGGAAGCAAAATCTTCTTGACATTCTCACGAAAAAAAATATCCAATGGAGAAACCTTCACACCGAAAAAACGTCGCACGAACGCAAGCTGCGCTTGCACCCAAGTGCCTCAGCTGCGCAAGTCCAGAATACGAGAATTGTAGGATACATTTTCGTCTAATTTGCCTGCAATCATCTTTACTCGGGAGCATTTCTAACGTAGTGCACGACCCTCAATTAGATTGATCGGTGGTATAGGTGTAATATTATAACAATGTAAAATTACGAAATTACATCGGCGGTCGGTTACGAGAATTTCGCGAGAATAAGAGAGAAGAAAAACGGAGAGGATGATGCTCCCGGACGTTTAATAATAAATCGAACCCGACTGCTACCTGAGAGAGCATCGGCGGTACCGCCCCGTCCGCAGGCTCATTTCGTACGCGGTGCAAAATGGTATTCGTCGGCGAACGCTATTATCATATTTACCGAGTTCTGATGACGACAATCGGTTTGTGGCCATATCACAAGCCGAGCGTTTTCCAAAAAATTCTCTTTTTCGGCGCATACGCCTCCTTTACATTGTTCCAGGTATTTATGCACCCAATCTCATATTTTCGTTCACGCCCTCGTACACGTATTTGCGACTGGTGCATCCTTAACTTTTTGCGTTGACAGCACATTTCCTAAACGTTGTATTATTTCGTATCATCATCAAGAGCAAGAATCAACCAGTATATCTTACGCATATAATGTAATGTGCAGTTTTATTCTCTCCAAAAGTTAATTTATGGTAGTTCGCTAATTCTTTGCAGTTTACGATATTTTTAACGACAAAGCCCGACTTTGGGAATATCATTCATGTATGTTCATACATTTTCATCACCATAGTGTATGCTTTGCTCTATAATAGCTTTTACTTCAATACCGAAAATGTAAGTAACTCACCCGAGAAAGTATCAGTCTTAATCATAGGAAATTCTCGCACTGTACGAGAATTTCGTATTTCCAAGAGAGGGGAATTTATGAAGCGGTGGTTGTTCGAACGGCAGATAAAGCATCTGCTGGAACGAGTCGAGGCGGACTGGAACACAGCCGACGACAGTGAAATGAGAATATTAGAGAAATACGCCGACGGGTGTCGTATAATTCCGCTACTTCTGATCGGTAAGTTTATAAGCTTTGAACTTCGCGATTTTTTTGAATACATCACTGCAACAAAAATTCGTTCATTCCATCAACGAAATGAAATTGCGCGTTATCTCATTGCACGTTTTCAACATTTCCGACTAAGGTTGTGCAAGCTTCGGAATTATTATTCTTATAATTATCGAAATGCTGCCGATTATTCTCGACGCCGTCGCGCCGATAAACGAGTCCCGGCCGCGTAAAACCAAGGTGGAATTCGAAATGTTTCTTGATCAGCAGCAATATTTTTACGTTTATCTGATACACGAGATCGTGGTATTGACGATCGGATTTTTTACGTTAGTCTCGACAGCCTCATTGATGATTGCGTTCCTGAGTCACAGCTGCGCCATTTACAAAATCGCTAGGTAAGTGCGGCCGACAGCGAAGTTCCTCTAATAACGAAATAACCCACCTGTAAATGTCGCAATAACTGTAAATAATTATCAAGTATCGACTATTTCGATCATGAATGAATCGTTTGCAGCACCTTGATCGGGAATTTAATAACCAAACAAACGCTGGAAATTCCAGTTGATCGGAATGCGCGCGAAATGTACCGGAGGATCATTCGTGCCGTTTGTATGCACAGAAAAGCTATAGAGTCAGTCTTTATCTAATTTATTTACTCTTAACATTTTACACTTCGTATCTTCACATGTAATGTGCACGGATGTTATTTCACTTAAAGAATATATTTTTCACCCTTGGCGTATGTCTTGGATAATAAAACTGCTTTGCTTTCTTCTAATTACCCTCTGTTACCGTAGGTTCATCAAATTCTTCTTAAATATCTGGAACAAATGGTTGTTCATTGTGATGGGGTTCACCGTTTTGTCTCTGAGTTGCAATCTTCTACGAGTATGTAACGCGCTACCACGAGTGATATTTTACTACATTTAAATCCATACCTACGTGCCATTTGCTACTGACATATTTCTGTGTTATAGTTTCTTATGGCAGTGACAGTACTAAAGGAATTTTCCGAAATATTTATATGCGCCGGAGTGGTGTTCGGACATTTTACAGGTTTGTTTATAGGTAATTTGGTTGGACAAATAGTTACAGATCACAGCTCGGAAATATTTACCGCCACGTGAGTACGTTGTAGAGATGGGTGGAATAGATTTCTCTATTTGATCCTTCTCTTTCGTTTTTCTTTATTTTGCACTGATCTTTAAACATTTACGAACTCGTTCACACAGTTGCAATAAATAAAATGGTATTTTATCGAATATGTGATGGGACACACGCAAAACTAAGAGGCAAAATGCAATCATTTATTTCCTTAATTTTTTTAGATACAATGCGCCGTGGCATATAGCTCCGCTACCGATACAAAAATTGCTGCTATTCATCATGCAACATTCTCTCAAAGCTAAAGCGCTAATAATTGGTGAAATGTTCACAGCATCTTTAGAAGGATTTTCCACGGTAATAAATGTAAAATACAATATATTCATTCCTTAGAACAGAAAATTTGATGTATTTTTGTTTCTTTTCGCAAAAAATCAACTCGATATATTTGATGCATGTTAGAAAAAATGACAATATTTTCACGTATAGCACAAATAACAATCAGAGATTAATAGTCGCTAGTCGCTAGTCGCTAGTTAATGAAGACTAAAATGTTTTTTTAGCTTGCAACTACATCAATATCATACTTCACGGTGCTTTACAATACGAATTAACGATTAAGAGACGAAAAGATACAAATTATATTAGAAATGTTCATGTGGAGATAGTAGAAAAGGAAGGTCCTTAGGTACGTAATTACATCCGCTTACGCACAATTTACGAAAACTTGGATAAATATTTTTTAAATCATCGTGTCATAAAATTTAGGCGTACCGTTAATGACATTAATATAGCGAAAATAATTTTGGCACGTAATGCTTGATCATAACGAGATAAATCGCATAGAAAAGAAACAACGGTTTAAGTGATAAATGAATGAACCGTTAGAATTCAAGAATTTGAATTCTAACGGTTCTAAATTCTAAATTAGAAGCAATAAAAGTTCACTACAGTATACTGTATTATAACAATTTATCTTCCGCATTTCAGCTCGTTGTTTTTTTTTTGTTATGATTTCTTGAATGGTTTTATATATTTTTCATTAATTCGTCATAAATCTGTATTTGCAGCTAATATAACACTATGTAATCGGGTAATCGGGAGCACAACTTGTTCTTGATGAATTTCCTATTGAATTATGCAAGAGACGAATAATATGATAATTGTTTTGCACCGTATATCTTAAAACAATCCCTAACCCGTATCTCCGGGTATTATTAAAAATAGTCGGAATTATTTGTTTATTATTTTACTGTAAGAACAGTATTTATATTACGATATTTTAATGGTTTTTTTACTTCCTGGTAACCGTAATACATCAAGTCAATATAAACCGTGAATCAACTTGCGAAGAAATGTAGTCTCTGTTTATGTATAGTACAGCTTATACTTCGCTGTAACAGCATTCGTGCGTCGAGTTAATCTGCACTGCGTTATCAACTCACGACGAAACGTAACTTGGGCTGAGTTTAAAACGGATCCATCACGAATCGTAGAAAAATGCAAGCAATGTGTTTTATCGCATTCGACTTGTACTTGTATGCGAACCGTGAATATTTTCGAAAATGTGAGAGTAAGAGAGAAATTCATTTAACTAAGAAATGATATATTCATGTACCAATAGTTATCATTTCGAACACCAGTAAGTGTAAACTTTTCTTTATCCTCACATAGTCATTATTAAATATTTTTATTACTCGAAGATATTCAAGGTGATATTATAGTTATTGGTTTACCCTATGTATGGGAATCTTTACTGTCAATGAAGTTATTATGATACACCGTGATGCATACTATGATGACATAGCATTAAAGAAAGTTCAGTCATTCATAAGTAGCGTAGAGATGGACGATTAATCATATACGAAAACAGTCGTGTGCCGGCTCAAACAAATAATTAAAGCTCGTTAGGTACGTAACTATCCGCATAACATATCGGCGGTCGCGAGCAACAAGTGCAGTCGACACACACCACCGACTTCTATCGCGCACATCATTTCGCCACATTTGACCGTATGAACTACGTGTGCGGCGTTTACATAAAACGCTTGTCAATTATGTTGCAGTGAATACCTCGCCGGATTTTCCTGCACCGTCGTAAAAAAAAATGAGTACGATATCGCGCTGAAATGAGAAAAGAATCGGAATTCAATTCGGGACAATACACTTTGATATGATACGCTTAGTGTGGCACAATGCAATATGAAAAACAATTTACAAAAAAAGAACCGTTTTAAATGGGTTCGATTAATAATAACATTCGGTTGCCCATAGAGGACGATTCTAGCATCGTAATGTGAATATTGCACGTAGAAATAAACATGTAGCGCAACGAGAGAAAAGTTTCATATTCAATCTGATAAGAAGAATCTATTATTTTTCCCCTACATGTATTCTACATATTACCTTCTTTCTATATTCGTACGTCGTTTTTCATAGTAACGACGAAATCAATAAGTTATATCACTAATTGAATTTTTCTTTAATTACTTAGCGTTAGCAATTTAATAATTGAATAATAATTTTTTCCGTTCGATCAATTGCAAGTCTTCACTTGCTATGCGTCTTTTTACGGCGTCTGTTGTATCTGACGATCAGAGAATACACAACAAAACCGATTCGCCGACACATTGGGCAATAATTCACAAAACTAATCGCAACAATCACAATTGTCATTCCAGCCCGTACAAGTCGAGTGCGATAAAACACATTTTTTGCCAAAATTATCGGCACGGTGTGAATTTAGAAGAGGGACTTTCATTATGCTAAAGTCGCTATTACGTCAATTGGCAAAACTGTTGCTTTAATTTCGTCGCGCATAGGTGGTGAAGGGTTCTCGAATCGATCGATATTAAGAAGTGCGCTATCGCTCGGCCCTCGTGCGAATATGTTAAATTATGGCTGTTATTTAGTCATTTCGATAATGTCTTCTCGCGGAGTTTCTCCGCGGAAAATACGTAGAATATCGAGGGCTAATATTTAATGAGCGGCGCGAGTGGTGGTGAAGCCATCGTTCTTCCTGAGACGCCTTTCTACTTTCATTCCCTCGCGTATTCTCGTGAAGAATGTTATCGGTGGAGAATCGCTACTACAAGCTCAATCGCGCTATGCTAAAGGTGCTCGGTGTGTGGCCCTATCGTGACTCAAAGTGGACGTATGTCCAAGTGGTGATGATAACAATTATATACCTCTCGGTCATATTTGTGCAGGTATTTGCATTCTTCTCCGTTCTTTATTCCTTTCTGTGATCACACGCGACGAAATGCGTCTAATGAGTATATGTGTTGATGTGATAACAATATTTTTAGTTAGCAGTATTTGTCACTCATGACTACACTTTGAATTTGTTAACCGAAGTGCTCTCTTTCGTTTTCCCGACTACCCTCATTTTGCTCGTGTATCACGTCTATAATTTCAGCTCCGACGCAGTAAGTCGATCGCACATTTTCCTTTTTTCTATTCCTCCGTTTCCAAATACGGTGGATAATTGTCCGCTAAATAGTTTAAGGAAATCATGGAGCATATGTATTACGATTGGAAGGCTTTCAAGAATAGAGTAGAATTGGGTATATTGAATGATTACGCCTCTAGTGCGAAACTACTAACGAGGATATCTTTCTGTGAGCATTGATTATAGATTTATTCACGTGTTTCAGTCGCGGGCACACTTTAAAATAATAAAAATCGCATATAATGTAGAAATCACGTTTGAGACATGATTTTCGCAATGATCGGACACAGTTAAACTTCTCTAATAGTAACTTGCATATTAACGACACTCTTGATGAATCGTGATTAAATCAAATAATTGCATGTATGTAATCGATATTCTAATTTTCACTACTGCGCTGCACAAATCATATCCCTCTTCATTATTAAAGCAGTGGTAAGAATATTGAATTAATATGATATCTTTATGATACTTATTTTAATATTAATATATGAAATATATGTTGTTCTCTTCGCTCGCATTTTCCAGCCTTTCTCGTCGTCATTGTATCAGTGGGTTTGTTGCTAGCCGATATACCTGTATTTCTCGATATAGTTCTACCTCAGAACGAGAGCCGTAGGCAAGAAACATATATTACAGCAGAATACTTCCTCGATTCGTCCAAATATCTGCCTTTGTTCGCAACACACTTGGCGATTTTCATCTGCTTAGTAGCCTTTACGTTCATGGCTACCGGAACGACCATTTACGGTTACCTTTTACACGCTTGTGCCACGTTTAAAATAGTCAAGTGAGAATTCGGAACGATTATATGTAAAGTAGTCAAATCAGTATGATATGGATGTGCAATTGCAGCTATCGAATACAGATGATGATGAACAAGGATGTATTACGGATCCCTAGCCTGGAGCGGGAGCGTGTAATTCTTGAAAGATTGGTTTGCGCGGTCGATCTTCATCGGAGAAATCTTCAGTTTGTTTATACTTAGTATCTTAAAATACGACCACTTTTTTTGTCTTTCACTAATTTGCACAAATCTCAAAGTGACCCTTTATTGCGCGCAGTCATTGCTCATCGGAATTCGTGCTTTTCGGCATCTTCTTTGAAATTAAATGCAATAGCAGTAAATTTAATTCGACAGACTTTCAAGTACAATATAGGTGTAACATGAGATTGTTCCGATTGTTGTAGGTTTTGCGATATGATAATGTTACAGTTAGGCAGACCAAGCCTCGTGTTAATAGTAATCAGTGTGTCATCCTTGAGCTTCTCTATGTATCGAGTAAGTGGAATTGTATATTTTACCTTACGTATTTTTAAAAGACCGTCGTATGCAAACGTGTGACCCATCTTATAAAAATCGCATACAACCCTGCAGTTGCTGCAGGCGTTAGTGGAGCACGGTGATATAGTGAATATAACTTTACCGTTCGCTTTCGTTGCCGGCCACATATGCATAACATTCCTTTTTAACTACGTTGGCCAACAACTCACAAATAATAACGCTGAGATCTTTAACACGGTGTAAGTGAGTATTCTCCTTCCAAAATCTCCAGAGAATTTCAGCCTGGCATATCATTTCTCAAATTGTTATCGCATTTATAATGACGGTGTCGATTTTTTATATTGTATGCTATTTTTGCATATCTGTGCTTCATAGCGCGCACGAAAGTGCAAACATATTACGATTTTTCAATTCGTACGTCTAACAAAAATGTAAAAGCTTCTAAATTTTAAAAGAAGTGTTCCCTCATACACGAACATTTACTCTCACTTTTGTATATTCGCAGGTATAATCTACAGTGGTACGCAGTTTCCCAGAATATACAAAAATTGATATTGTTTTTATTGCAAAAGGGTAGCAAAAACTTTTATCTAACGATTGGCGTATTTGAAGCCTCACATGAATGCTTTACAACGGTACTGAGAGTGTGTTATAACTGATTGCTAAATCAGATTCGACGAACTGTACGTAAATGAATTTTATATTTTAGCTCATAACCTCGGCGATATCGTACTTCAGCGTAATCTATGCTGTCCAATAAAGGCGTAACCGGCAATGTTTCTAATCGACCCTATAAGGTTATGTTCGATATTGAATATTTTTATTATTTTTACTACATATCGCACACAGATATAATGAGACTAATTTAATTCAGGAACTAAGGTAAATGTCCCAGTTAGTGGCGGTGTTCCCAACAGTGGCGTACGTTCGTATCGGCAAATTGGAAAAAATCAATATTACCTGTCACTAAATTGTGCTTCTGTCACTTTTAAAGGCACATTATAAATAAATAAATTAAAATTTTATTATAAATAAAAAAATGCAATACAATTAGAATCCTAAGTGTTTAAACTTTCGAACAAAATTAATATTATGTGCTTAACACGTGTATGTATTATTATAATAATCTATTAATTTATTTTCACGATGAGATCACTTTGCCATTAATTGAGACATTCACCTTACTTCAATTTCACCAAAGCGAATCAATTATTCGTGTTTTTTATCTTTTTTGTGGTTAAGCGACGAAGGATTTGTATGTCGTCTATGGCAACGTTAAGATTAATAAATCACACAAATTACTAATTGAAAGAGAAATTTTATATTATATCATCAAATCTAAACTCACACACGTTTGCTGGCTACTTTTCTGTAACGACCGATGCAACGAATACGCAACACACTTCCGCCTGTTGAATCCACTTTACTGACACGGAGGGTGAAAGTTCGAAGACACACTGTACGAGACTAATTGCATGAGACTGTTGCTCACTCGCGCACGGAAATCGATACGGTAAAACATTTTAATTTGCGGGGTATCGTTCGGAAGAGAAAAACGTAATTACGACAATTACAGTCACCGTTGTGACCGGCAACCGAGTCCTTCAGGATTCCAACGCTCGAGGCCCGCTCGCCCTGCGACGTGGCCTCAAAATCTCGCAGTGCGTAAAGGAATTCCCTAGGCCCTTCCGTAGGGATCCTCCCTCGCATGCTCTGCGACCGGGTCGCCGGGCTTTTCTCACAAGGTGGCCATTCCCGCCGTCCGTCGTCAGCCGTCCGCCCGGGAAAGAAAGATTTCCCGCGGCCTTCCGCACGCCGCTCCATCTCGCCCTCGTTCGCGCTCGGCTCCTCCGGTTTTACGTCCAATACACTGGCTCGTCGTAGGTGACCTTACACTTATAACAAATATAATAGCCGCGGGTCGCGTCTCATGTGCAAAACGGAACGAAACGAAAATTATAAAATTCGGTCGCCTTCTCCTTTGAGAAGGCGCGAGTTTCCGGCTCATCCTCGGCCAGGCCACAGGCCTGAGTGACGAACAAAAATTTGCATCGTCACAACTTACGATTCAAAGTGCTACAGAAATATCTAAGATATAAGACTCATATACCTCGTCACAAATATATTTAAAAACGAGATGCAATCACCGAATTAAAATAATCTCCACGGCAGTCGAATATAATCCATATACGTCCAAAGTATAGTGAAAACAAATGGGAGAAATCAATGATATGGGAGAATATCAATGATAAAATTGCCACAAACAAATTTCCTCTTCGCAAGCTAAACGATTGAAGCTATACGCCCACTTGCTGGCTTCGCGTGTATTAAACGCGAGAGTTACAAAGGAAGTCCATAGTATTAATTGATGTGCTACAAATGATACTTTTTCTTACGCTATTACAGAATTTACCGATATTAGTCATCAGCTGCAACAAACAAATATACAACATTTTAAGATCCTTTATCTGATATATTGTGGTCGATGACTAATATAATTCAATGTATCTCGATAGAGCGAAGGCGAGAAATGTGTTGTATGACGGACCGAACAAAACTGAAACGTCGCTCATCACAAAACGCAACAGTCACTAATGCGCTTGCGCAACAATATTCCTTAGTCTAAGCGGTAAAAGAAAAAAATTTGCTCTCGACTACAAATAGAGACAATTTAGTCCAATTTTCCCCCGCTAATATAACAAATACATCGTCGCCGTTACAAAACTACTCTCACTTTTGTACCATTAGAGGACGACAATATCGATCGTCTTCAATTCGCATAAAAATGCGGAGGGAGGACTCTAAAGCCCGAGGTATACAGTTACTACGCGACTATCTTTCGAGATGCATGCGACCGAGGCATCCTATTACAAGATCAATCGAGTTATTCTAAAGACGCTCGGTTTATGGCCGTATCAGCAGTCACGTCTAGTACGAATACAGAATGTACTGTTTATCGTTATTCTAACGTCATTCATCATTGTGCAGGTATACGCACGGTAATCGGGTGGTCACAGCAGTAGGCCCACGTTCAATAAGAGCGCTGCTGAACGCACTTATTTTTATTTCCCTCATTCTGTCCCCTCACTTTTTTTTTCGTCTTTAATGTACAAATTTTTTAATAATCAGGAATTTTATATACTAACATTGCAGAATTTTTCATGTTTCCCAAGAATTTTATTTCATTCTTTATAATACAATAAAACGTCAATTTCGTCGAGCACTATATAATTCTCGTGAAAATTCTTTTAAGCGACGTGTTCTAGTTAGTGTCATTTTCAGTTGATGGTATTTGTTACAACACAGTACAACACTAATGTCCTCTTCGAAGTTCTCTCGCTCATGTTTCCCAATGTCTTCGTCACGTTGAAATACTACCTCTATGTCATTCAGGCGAACGTAAGTCTGACGAGACGAATTGTATATTGGAACATTTTGTGCTAAAGCACGTATAAAATAAATTATATTAAACGTCAGTAAAAGAAAGAGAAAAAAAAATATATGAAACCAGCAGGTGAAACAATTGCTGGAAAGAATACACGATGATTGGGGTTCACTAAAGGATAAAGTGGAAATTAAAATTTTAAAAAAATATACTCGCAGCGGGAGGTTTATCACGATAATTGTGATGTGTAAGAGATTGCTAGTTTCAATATATTATACGTCAGTACTCATCGTTCTCATTAATTATACTAATTACGTTGGAACATACTTTGGATTATTTTTGAACAATTTTCAGAATGAATATCCCATAAATGAATTAAAATTCCACTCAACATGTTTTTTCTTTTTTTCAGTATTTTGCAATATCTTCGCAATCTTTTCCATAATATGTCAATTCCTACCGATGATACTGGATATCGTGTCACCGCTCAACGCATCCAGACCATATCAAATTGTCGCGAGAACAGAATACTTTGTCAGCCAGGAAAAATATTTCTACGCCATTGCAACACATGAGATTGTAGCCTGCTATATTGGAATGGTCGCGGTGTGCGGCACCCTTGCGACATATGTTATGTACGTTTATCACGCGTGTGCGCTTTTCAAAATAACCAGGTAATATTAAAAGCGCTTGCTCGTTTCAATCTGTGTATAATGAGCAGATTTGCAGTTATCGTATAGAGATAGCAATCGAAAGGAATGCGTTGACTATCCCTGCTCCTAGAAGAGATTATCTCCTTCATCGCAGAGTTGTCCACGCCGTAACTTTTCATCAAAGAGCCAACGAGTTGGTATTTCAAATATTACAATGTTCCCGGTATATTAAAAATGTGTCAGGTCGACAAAATAGACGGTTATACTTGCTCAAACAAAATATTACCTGGAAAAAAAATTGTTATCGCCTCAGCTAAACATGGTTTGCTGAAATTGCATTTGTTGCTATAGTTTCCAAGTTATCTACTGCGTCCAAAAATTTGCAGTTGTTGCTAATACATTAATATGATATATGGGCAGCAAAATATGATTCATTGAACTATTACACTGATCTGAACCCTTAAAAGCGCGATTAAAATATGTTCGAATAATAATTACATACGAGTTTCATAATTATATCGTGCCGATATAATTGCCGTTACTATACAAAAATTTGGGCTCCCTATTATTAGCTACTTGTGAAAAACAGAGATTTTTTTAAGTTTGCACATTATTGAAGATAATAACTGTTCATATCCAACTTGTGGTCAAAGATTCGTCGAATATTTAACGTCTAATATTATGACGTCTTATACTCTTCTGATTATGGTTGGTTCCATCTCATTTATCTGCTCTCTTTTTCAAGTGAGTAATATTTTCATTCTACTATTATGTTTAATCGCGCACCGCATTTTAAGAAGCCGCACTCTCCGCCGTAGTTCGTTCAACTGATAACGTTAATTCATGACACCAACGAAATGATCGTATTCGCTCTAATAGTGGCGGCTCACTTGAGCTACATATTTCTCATTAACTATGGCGGACAGGAAATAACGGAACACGGGATAAAGCTGTTCAGAACAACGTGAGTATTTTTCAAAATTAATTGTATTACTTTTTTTTATATATTTATTATTGTTATTATTCGGTTATTATTATTTCTTAAATATATTTTTGGCATTCTTATTACAAACAGTAACTATATCCGCCAGAATTTGAGAGATGACTTGTTTTAACAGATAATACATAAAATTAGCAACAAAAATCATTTTTAGAATAATGATGAAGCTAAATATAATATGTTAAAACGAATAGATGCCATTGTAACAAATTGATATATTAACCTTAAGTAAAAAAATTGCAGTTACACTGTACCGTGGTACACGGCACCGTTGCAAACGCAGAAATTGCTTTTGATGATAATGCAAAGGGGAACGAGAAATGTCATATTAACATGTGGCGGTATGTTCGTCGCGTCTCTGGAACTTTTCGTATCGGTAAAATGCAAAGTTCTCGTTTACCGAAAATATCATATTTCGACATGAATTTAATGGGTGATGTCATGTGTCTTTTAAGCTGACGAGCACGGCCGTGTCTTATTTCACTGTGATATATTCCTTACGGTAATAAAGAACACAGGAAGGAAGAAAGGAGGAATCTATTATCGGCAGTTCGATTATAACCTAAATCTAAATTATTGTGCGACTTATATCTGTTCTAAACTTGTTACATATAGTATTAAATAAAAATGTACATTAACTTCTGACAACTTAGCGCATTTCATCTATATATTCAAGAAAAAGTCTAGTAATGGTTGATAAATACATTTGGTTTCAGTGCGTTTCAGTGCATTATTTGGTAATTAGTACCAAGGCTTGACTATAGTTACTAAACGTTTGATAATAACAAAATGTATAATAACACAGAATTTTTCATTAAGTTGAACCAAACGAATTATTGAGTAAATAATATCACATAATTTAGTAATAATTATCAACTAGTTTAACACTTTCACCCAAATATGTGGTAACTGTTACTAAATAATTTTGTCAATAACACTACAGGAACACGAAGAGAAAGAAAGTGTACCAAATCAAAAGCATAACTATATACAGTATATGGTACTACACGGGTTTAGTTGAAGTAATCAAATAATTCAAGTGAAGCTATTTAACTAAATCTTGGTAATTGTCACAAAATTTTTCTTTCAGTACATCTCATGTACTGTAAAAATAAACGTAACAACATCATGATATATTCGCTACGGAGGCGTTGCATTTCTCAGATAAAAGAATCGAAGTAATTCGTCCCTTCGTCGAGAAACTCCCGTCTAGTCACCTTGCGCACGGAAAATGCAAGAATTACAAAGAGAGTTAACATTATTAATTGATACGTTGCACTCCACGCAATCATTTTGGTTTACAGATATTAATTACCACTATCAACACACACATTTTGGGATAGTACTTTCATCCGATATGATTTTATCTGATCGTAGTCGATGACTAATATATCTCAATGTACTTCGATAGAGCTAAATCAAAGTGTATTGTATGACGAGCCGAACAAGACTGAAACGTCGCTCATCACGAAACAGCAACAGTCACTAATGCGCTTGCGCAACGATATTCCTTAGTCTACGCGGTAAAAGAAAAAAATTTGCTCTCGACTACAAATAGAGACAATTTAGTCCAATTTTCCCCTGCTTATACAACAAATACATCGTCGCCGTTGCAAAATTACTCTCACTTTTGTACCATTAGCAGACGACAATATCGATCGTCTCCAATTCGCATAAAAATGCTCTCTAAGGACTCTAAAGACCGAGGTATACAGTTACTACGCGACTATCATTCGAGATGCATGCGACCGAGGCATCCTATTACAAGATCAATCGAGTTATTCTAAAGACGCTCGGTTTATGGCCGTATCAGCAGTCACGTCTAGTACGAATACAGAATGTACTGTTTATCGTTATTCTAACGTCATTCATCATTGTGCAGGTATACGCACGGTAATCGGGTGGTCATAACAGTACGCCCACGTTCAATAAGAGCGTTGCTGAACGCACTTATTTTTGTTTCCTTTTCTGTCTCCGTCATTATTTTTTTATCGTCTTTAATATAAAAATTTTTTAATAATCAGGAATTTTATATACTAACTTTGCAGAATTTTTCAGGTTTCCCAAAAATTTTATTTCATTCTTTATAATGCAATAAAACGTCAATTTCGCCGAGCACTCTATAATTCTCGTAAAAATTCTTTTAAGCGACGTGTTCTAGTTAGTGTCATTTTCAGTTGATGGTATTTGTTACAACACAGTACAACACTAAGGTCCTCTTCGAAGTTCTCTCGCTCATGTTTCCCAATGTCTTCGTCACGTTGAAATACTACCTCTATGTCATTCAGGCGAACGTAAGTCTGACGAGACGAATTGTATATTGGAACATTTTGTGCTAAAGCACCTATAAAATAAATTATATATTAAACGTCAGTAAAAAAGAAAAAAAATATATGAAACCAGCAGGTGAAACAATTGCTGGAAAGAATACACGATGATTGGGGTTCACTAAAGGATAAAGTGGAAATTAAATTTTTAAAAAAATATACTCGCAGCGGGAGGTTTATCACGATAATTGTGATGTGTAAGAGAGTGCTAGTTTCAATATATTATACTCATCATTATAATCAGTACTCATCGTTCTCACTAATGATACTAATTACGTTGGAACATACTTTGGATTATTTTTGGACAATTTCTGTAATGAATATCCCATAAATGAATTGAAATTCCACTCAATATGTTTTCTTCAGTATTCTGCAATATCTGCATAATCTTTTACACAATATGTCAACTCCTACCGATAATTCTGGATATCGTGTCACCGCTCAACGCATCCAGACCATATCAAACTGTCGCGAAAACAGAATACTTTGTCAGCCAGGAAAAATATTTCTACGCCATTGCAACA